AACACCCCACATATGTGTTTTTTAAGAATGTAAAAATATATAAAATTACAGCTCAATGTTCACCATGTAGATTTTCTTAGATATAAATTTTAGGATCTTGCACGTATGAGGGGCATTCAAAAATTTGAAATAATTTGGCAACTATCATTTCAATTCATGTATTTCAATTCCAAAATTTGAAATCTTGAATTTCAAATGACAAGAAGAGGTGCATGAATTTCAAATTAAGCTTTGTTATGAATGAGAAGAATTTGACTCAAATTCAAATTTAAAATTTTTAAGTTTCCCAAACATGGAATTTGATCCAAATCCGGATTTGAAATCCAAATCCATGATCCCAAACATACCATAAGATTTTTTTATTTAGTACCCCATATATGTTTAAAAAAAATAAAACGGGAGAATTTATGGATAATAGTAAAAAATGAATTAAAACACTAAAACAAGAGTCTTAAGTTTTTTTAAAAAAATAAGAGTATTAACTCTTTTAGACCAAAATAAGAATTTGCCCTATCATATCGTTGTTACACTGCACACTTACCACATTCTGACAGTGTAACTGTCACATTGTCATCTGTCGTCGTCGGCCACCAGATTGTCACCTCAAACCATCGATGTTGACCGTTAGTCCGGCGTCAGTTGACGGATTACACTATCATATTATACTTCCATTAGTTCCTCATCACCGATATTTTCATAGTTTTTTACTCTTATTAAAAGAGATTTTTTTTTAAATATATAAGTCTATGAGTCATTTGTTCGCCATGTGTATTTTCTTAAATATAAATTCTATGATTTTACATGTATTGATAGATTTGTGAATCTATGTGTATAAAGAATGAGGAAAGTGTATGAACTGAATGAATAAGAAGATGAATAATGTGTAATGTGTATGCATTCAGTTGAATTCCCCCTCCACCTCCTTTAAGAAGAGGGGTATAAATAAGGGGAGTTAGCGTTAGGGTTTAGGTTCCCGTACAAAGACAAATGGGCCGACCCAATAGATTGGGTCGCCTTTTAATAAGTAATCAATATATTTCTAATGGGCTTGTCCAACAGACTAGATCACCCCACCTAATATTATACAAAGATCGGATACCACATGTCCAGAGTATCCATCATGAGTCCCCACTTCTCGAGCTGAGAGGAACTCGAGGCGAAGTGGATGTAGAACAATAATCCAACACGGAAGGACACTGTCTTACTTGCTGTCTAAAGTGCACCGCCAACTCCCTCATCAGAGTAAGGCAAACAATGCCATCAGTCTGAAATGTAATGCCAACTCACTGTTCAGAGTAAGGTAATGTGAAAGAAATTGTACCAATCAGCATCAAGTGCGCTGCCAACTCGTTGTCCGGAGCGGCAAAGTGAAAGGAACTACACTAATGAGTACGAGATGCACCGCCAACTCGTTATCCAGAGCGGCAAAGTGAAAGAATATGCACCAATCTACTCATTGTCTCGAAATGATCTGCTCTCGTACAAAGTACATCGTCATCTTGCTATCTAGAGTGCAACGATCACCATAAGAGTGAGTGAGGAAATCATCATATACAGTCCATTTGTCATCTTCAAGGATCCTCCCACAACCCCGTCAAAGTGTAACTCACTCCATAGGGAATGCCTCATTAAAAACTTGTTGAGGAAAAAACCCATGGGAATGAGAAAAATTCTCTGGTCAAGAAAAGAGTACATCTCGTCCCACGAGGTGAATCAAGAAAAATAGTCTAAGGGTGCGAGGTCTTAGAGTAAAGAAATCTGTGTAAATCATATCTCAGAAGAGTTGGTCCCTAAGTGTCCTGGACTCGTTGTCCAAAGTCGAGGGCTATTCGTCATAATGTATTGCCAAAAAGTGCATGCCGACACAAATTGTTGTAGTGCGATGTAAGGCCGAGATGTTGATCTTCCAAGCTCTCACGATGTGTGATGTAACAATCACGAGCCAAGCACCCAAAGTCCCCCACTCCCTTATAACCCGTAGTCCCCCACTCCCTAAGCTGAGGAAGAATTCCGAGGTGAAAGGGAGTAGTGTCAATGCTTGGCTCTGGTAGGACAAATAAGAAAATACACATGGCGAACAAATGACTCATGGATTTATATATTTAAAAAATAAATCTATTTGAATCAAAGTAAAAAAGTATGAAATTATCGATGATGAGGAACTAATGGACGTCGGACTAACGGTCAACGTCGACGGTTTGAGGTGACAATCGGGTGGCCGGCGATGACAGATAACAGTGTAAAAGTTACATTATCACAATATGGTGAGTGTGCAGTGTAACAATGATAGTGTAAATTCTTATTTTGGTCTAAAAGAGTTAAGAATCTTATTTATTCTAAAAGACTTAAGATTCCTGTTTTAGTGTTTTAATAATTTTTTAAAGAAAATATATGGGGGTACTAAATAAAAAAATCTTTTAACATGGATATTTGATGAGCCCAGGTAGACATGTTATCTTCCAAGATTTTTGTGGGTGTTTCAAATTTTTGAATGTCCTTAATACGTGCAAGATCCTAAAATTTATATCTAAGAAAATTTACATGAGGAACATTGAGTTGTAATTTTATATATTTTTATATTAAAAAAATATATGTGGGGTGTTGTGAGAATCGAACTCACGACCTCTCGCACCCGAAGCGAGAATCATACCACTATACCAAACACCCAAGTTACAAAAGGATACCATAGTTTATTAGAGGATACTCCTAGTTATATATGGATGTTAATGTATGAATATGTGAAATTTGCACTAAAAAGACTAAAATATAAGTCATTTTTCAATATAAGACTTAAAAAAATTATTCCATAAATAGTACAGAGTACTTAATAATGTCTAGCCGGAGGAATAATGTCCAGTGATGGTGGACATTTACTTGAATACTGATCAATGATTCTACATTGGAAAATCAAAATAGATGGTCCTATATTGAGAAGCTCATTATATTTTAGTTTTATTTAGGTAAATTGCCCATGAATGAATACGCACACCGAGTGTAGACTTTTCAATCAACAAAAGTTGATTGTGATTGATTTAAATTTCATTGGATTTCATTGGTTTGAAATAACTATAAATTCATAAAAACTTAAAGGGAGATAAAGAATCAAAAGAGCAGCACATAATAGTTAAATACATAAGTCAAATCAAAGATGTAAAATAGATTTCTCAATTAACGAAGATGAAATAGCAGTGAACAATGTATTAACAATGTTACTGAATTAAATACTAAAAGGTTAAAACTTAATGGTGAAAAAAAAAGTTTAACCGTACTACTAAATTTCAATATCAACAGGGAAAACGAATATCGAAGATTAAGAACAATAACGAGAAAATACGATGAAAATTAACTTGGAAGAAGGATGGCCAAAGGAAAAGAACAGTTCCTAGAAGAATGATTGAATATGTAAGAAGATGATATTTCCCTTCTTGAATGTGCTTAAGGTACCTATGATTTTTTAAAGGATATCAATTTTTGAGAAAGTCCAAGTTATAACAGGGTACAAAATTATAACATTTTTTAACATTGGCCATTTTATGAGCTCATTTAGATATGTTATCCCAAAATTTTTACGGATATTTTCGATTTTTAATTTCTGTGATACGTGCAAGATCTTAGAATTTAAATTTAAGATAATATGCATAGAAAACAAATGAGCCTTGAATTTATAAATTTTTAATTTTTAAAAAAATATATATGTGGGGTACTATTTTTTTTACAAATGGAGGGTTCATATTTTTTATTGCACTCAAAGCAAGAATCATGCCACTAGACCAAACACCCTAGTAACAAAAACTAGCATACTTCATTAAAGTATACTTTGTATTATCTTGTTAATGTATAGATAAATGCACAAGCTAAGTACTTTTAGATTAAGTGTTTTTTTAAATTATTATCAATTTGTATCTTAAGTTTTCAATCAAAGGTGCAGACTTTTCAAGCAACAAAAGTTGATTGTAATTTGCATAGGTTTCATTGGTTTGTTCAATAGCTTACATGGAATAATGGAAATGGAAATGGAAAAACTATAAATTCATAAAAGCTTAAATGACGAAATAGAATCAAGACAACATCACATAAGAGTAGAATACATCAAGTCAGAACCACAGATGCAAAATAGATTTCCCAATTAACGAAGATGAAGAAGGAGTGAGCAACATATTAACAATGCTACTGAATTAAATAAAAAAAGTTAAAACTGAATGCTGAAAAAAGTTTAATGGTATTGCTTATGATGGAATTTTAATTCCACTGAATATATTTCCCGCATCAAGAATTACGAAATAAGAGACAAGAATATTGAACTCAAGAATGGAATAAAAGACATCCTCTCATTTGAATCCCTCATGATATATTTATAGATTTCTAAGCTTCTTAATTCTACTACACATGCATCTGTTGGAGTTGTACGTTAATGACCAATCAATTTTTTATTGTATTATGATGAAAAAGCAGATATAACAAGTTTACAAATATCATTTGTTATATTCTTAGATTTATTATTTGAAGATGTTTATTAGATAGAGTCTTCTGATGTTTATCTTGTTTATTTGAACAAGTTTATAAAGTTTTAACCTTATTAGCCTTTTTTTATTTAATTCAATAGCAATGTTAATACATTGCTCGCTGAGATTAGATCAGAAACAACTTTAATCATACCCTGAGTAACTATATTTAGATCAAATTAAATCAAATCAGATGAGAACTTATTTCAATCAAATAAAAATCTATCTGATTAGGGGGAAGAGAACAAGTCTATAGTATAATACTCCCTCCGCCCCGAAATGATTTACACACTTCATTATTCAAAGACCAAGGAAACTTTTTACACATCTTGTTTTGTGAAACTTTTGATCAACTTTTTAAATATATAAATTTTATTTTTTATTCGTATACCAATCTATAAATAAAATGATATAAAAGAAATTAAAATTTTACTTTATTTTACATAAAATATAAATAATTAAAGGACAAAGGGAATACGATTAGTATTTATTAGGGGTGCGTACAATTTGGTAAATTGGTTGAGTATAGTCTGTTGAATTTTGAAAACTTTAGTAGGTGATTCAATTTACTCCGGTCCGGGTAACTTTAAAAATCTACTCGATCAGGCCGAATTACCCCCGTAACCCTAGCCAGGCATCTCATATCTCTCTCTGCGTTATTCCCTCCCTTCGTAGTCCGTTTAGCTCACTGGCACCCTCAGGTATCCTATTGTTTTTTCACTTTTCTTGCGGTTATGAATGGTGATTACTGACATTTGCTATTACCAGTATTGTTTTTTGTGTTCCATCTTTTTTTTTTGATAATGGCGATTCTCTTTCACCCTAATTTGTTAAAATTGAAATTTATCACAATGAGTTAAAGAATGTTAACTGAACCTCCTCTCTTTTTTTTTCTTTCTAAAACTTTTACCTGTTATGAATGTTATGATGATTGATGATTGATGAAAGACCATCTCCATTTTTTCTCTTAAGTAATTCTAGTTTTAACGATTGGGTTTCTTGCAAGTATTTTTTTGTAATGGACTAATAATATCACAATTTACAAGTATTTTACCATACGGAACCGATTCATTATGGACTTATGGTTCGGTATTGGGTACAGAAATTATTTTACCGAAATTTTTGGTTCGGTTCGGCTTTACAGAATGAACACCCCTAGTATTTATTCGTACATACTTTCTCATTGTATGCCAGAATAATGCATGTTTTGTTTGAAGGTTTTGTCATTAAGGTGTTATGCTTTATGCAGGTTCATTCCTCATCTAATTAGTTTTGGTACTGTCTAAACACATTGCCTGACATAGTGACATGGAAACTGAAGATATGGTCATCCTGCCTATTTTAAGTGATTCTGAAACACAGCCTGAAAATCATGATGGTGAAGATTATAATTGTAAACCGAGCTTGAATCCCCTGTCGGGAGAAGCTAAGGCTATGGAAGAGGCCTCAAATGGAGGAATTTCCGAAAATGGTGTCGGTGATATAATTGAAGGACACCAGCTATGTTTGGCTACAAATGATGGCAAAGATTCTGAGAATGGCGAGAATGGCTGTCTTATTGTTCCAGAAGAAATCAAAACTGGTAATACCAAAATTAACACAAAATCACACTTCTTCACTTACTTTAAAGAAAAAAATATGTGACCCACAACATATCTCTTAACTAATTTTAACCACTTATCATTTTTCACCATTTTTTCTTGAACTTCTTGAAGCCAACATATAACCTTCTTCTATGGACAGAAGGAGTACATTTTAGATAGAATCTGGTCCTTTCTGAAAAATCAAACCCCCAAAATGTTTGAATTGAAAGACGAGGACAAAAGTGGAATTACATCCTCCTTAAGAGAGTGTAGCTTGAAGAAGCGCTGGAAATTTTAACTATCTTAGCTCATTCCTGATTTTCGGAGCAGTTTTGCAGCTATGCTAATATGGATTATATGTGTGTACTATAAATAGCCTATCAATTCACTCAAACTTTTCATTTTTGTGAATGTGACATATCAGCCATGTCTAGTGCCAAAAGACCAAGAGCAGCCCTTGGAAAAGAGCAACCATCAGTCCACATTATTTATAATGCCCTTACCATGTAAAAGCATAAATAGTCAGAATCTTTTGTGTTTCATTTATATTTTTTTTATGGACAACTGTTTTTTTCAATCAGTTTAGATTTCTTTGATGCCTCTTTAATCTTTCTTTTCTCAAACTCTGATAAGTTAATAATGATTTCTTAGTGAGAGAAAACAAAAGCTTGAAGAGCTATTACAGCAGTGGTCACAATGGTGTGCTGACCACAACCCTTCATTACATGTAAGTTTAATCTTTGCCAGCTATTGGTATTTTGTCAACTCTCATTTTCATGTCCTTCTGACAATGGAGAATATTTCAAAAAAGAAAAGAAAAAAGAAGAAAGATACGCGGCACATAGGAAAATGAAATTAAGTGATTCCCTTAATATTTTTATCAATTATGTGTGTGAAGAAATAAAAGAATTAAAAATTTAAAAACTGAAGAAAAGGGTCAGTGGGTCACCACCGACAACAAATTTTTTTTTAAAAGCCATTCCCTTGGTCAATGATGTATCCTGGTATCTGTAAGCGCCGCAAGCAAATTTAACAGGGGATTATATATTTTACTCAGGACTCAGAGGAAGCGTTAGAATCTGGTGAGGAAACTTACTTCCCTGCTCTCCATGTTGGTGTGGATAAACCTTCTGCGGTGGTATGTTTTCCTATTACAGATTCTGGCCTTAATAAAAGTAAACGAAAGTGTACTCTTCAATCATTGTTATTATTCTCCTTTATTTCATGTTAGTCCTTTTGGATGGATCTACCAAGGAAGAAAAAGAATAAGGTGTTAATTCCATGTGATGCCAATTCTGTCCCTATTTATGACCGTGGGATCACATTTGCTTTGAGTAAATCAGACAGTTCAACTAATTTGGAAGGGTAAATTTTTGTGCATTAGCATCATTATTATCATCACCACCATCATCATATTGATTAGTTGTCCTATAATAATATGGAGTACAACAACAATATTAATAATAAGAGTATATTCTACAAATAGTCCTGTATTATGGGTTGTTTCCATGTAGTCCTCAAGTCTAAGATATTATGTCTGTGGTCTTCTATATTAGAGAACTTTTCCATGATCAGTCCTTGGACCCAAATATGTTTTATCAAATATAGCCCACAAAAGACTGATTGTGGAATACGAGTAATTCTCAAATATAGAGGACCGCAACCATAATATCTTAAAATTGAGGACTATTTATGGAAAACCCATGTTATAAAAACTATTTATACAGAGTATACTTTACTCTAATAATAATAGTTTATGTTTATGTCTTGGTGCACTTATCTCTTAATGCTGGCTTCACCATGTATGTCGCAGTGCAGTGGAAGAAGTTGGTGCGTCTCGTTGCTTCAACTGTAGTTCCTATAGCCACTCAATGAAGGATTGCAAGAAGCCTCACGACACTGTTGCCATCAGCAATGCAAGGAAACAGCACAGATCCAAACGCAACATAAATGCAGCTTCTCGCAATTCTATTCGATACTATCAAACCTCTCAAAAGGGAAAGTATGATGGTCTAAGCCCGGGCTTTCTTGATTCTGAAACCCGAAAACTTTTGGGCCTTGGGGTGAGCCCATGAACTGTGAAAATCAAAGACTGTTTGTTTTCATTTTCAAATGTTCAGAGATTCTGCCATTGTCAACCTTATCTTTGTGATTTTTTTTCTTCAATTCAGGAGCTTGATCCACCTCCATGGCTTCACAGAATGCGTGAAATAGGTTATCCACCAGGTTATCGAGGTAACTGATCATTTCCTCACATACCCATCAAAAATCCATATGCAGTAATAATCAACGGACAAATGCCTTTAACTTTCTGATTTGGCTTATTATATTTTGCTTGTATTATGGTAAAATGTGTCGATATTTTCATTCCTTTAGTTTTACGTAATACTTTTCTTTGATCCAGAAGAAGACAATCTTTCTTCAGGAATCACAATATTCGGTGATGATGAAATTAAGAAAGAAACAGGGAGGGGAAATCTTGAGAAATCTGTAGAGCCACCTAAGAAAATGAGTGTTGAGTTTCCTGGGATAAATGCTCCAATTCCAGATGGTGTAGATGAACGGCATTGGGGTATATGGTCCTCAAGTGCTATAGGTTCAAGAACTCATCATGACATTAGACGTCATGGTATGACATCATATGCTACAGAAAGGGGTCATTCTCTTGAGCAGCAAAGGTATGTTTGGATAACTTCGTTTTCCATCAAATTTTATTTCCTTTTCACTTTCCTCTGTTATGTTTCTTTGGTACCGTCCACGTTCCGTACAGAATGCGATGGTCTGCTATGGATATGAATTTTGAAGGAGATGTAACTCCACCACACCATTTTAGGAGTTTCGAAGATGTGGGCCATCCAATGCCGTCATTTAGGGATTTTGAAGTAGGACCTCCACCGCACCGGTTCAGAAGTTTTGAAGATGTGGGCCCTCCAAGGCTGGCATTTAGAGACTTTGAAGCTGAGGGTCGTTGTCTGAGGCAGTGGTTTAGCCATTTTGAAGAAGAAGAAGCACCCAGAGAGTATTGGTTTCATGGGTTTGAAGGGGAAGGTGATCCACGGCAGCAATTCGAGTTCAATGATGAATGGCTACCGGGCCCTGATAACAGCCCATTTTCTTACGGATACCGGGATTATTATGACTCAAATTTCTGCGCAATTGATAGTTTTAGAAGATCACCATTGTCATGCGAGCACACTTTCTTCTCCGGTTATTACCCAAGACATTGACGGTGGCAACTACGACTGTTTTGCAAAAGCCAGGGAGCATCAAAACCAATTCTTGATACACAGTACATTTTCCCAACAGAGTAGCAGACCAAGAATGTTATAACCCCGTTTGTTTGCCAAATGTGGATTCCTAGTCTCTTTTTTGTTGGATTTTAGGGTGTGATCATGTTAATTCGTGTAATCATGTACGTGGAAACATGTCTTGACTTTTTTTAATGTCAATAGTACTATAGTAGTCGAGTTTCTAACCATGTTCTAGTTAGAAAAGGTTAAGAGGTTATTTATTTATTTAGTTGTTGACAATTGCAAAATGGCATTTTTTGCATCTAAGTATGGGCTAAGGTTCATGTTCATTTTATGCACTTTTGTGTATTTATAGCATAAAAGTTGGTCTTTGCAAAAAAGAAAATAATCACATATAAGACTATGAAAAATGTGAGAAAATTCACGGTCAATATGAGTGCAAAAAAGGTAAAGTCCAAAAACAAAACTCCTTATAAATCAATCTAAGATTAGCACTTGATTTCCTCCCTTTAAATTATTGTTTTGGCCTTAGTGTTTAAAATTAAGCTTTAATGTGATCAAGAAAGACTATGATCTATATCTATTAAATACAAAAATAATCTTATCAGTCTAACCAAATATTTTAGGGCCCTTGATTCTACTAACAATCTCGAACACTTTTTAGGAAAGTTATGCTATTGTTGTCATAAGATCCGCTTATAAATATAAATCTTCTTATATTTTTCATTAATTTATAATTGGATTTTTTATTATTTTAGAAGACCCAATACATTTAAATATTTTGAGGAAGAAAAAAAACTCACTAGAGAACTGTGGATTCCCATTTGTGACTTGGACAACTTTTAGTAGGAAGAAGACTTGCTGCCTCCTCTAGCTTGATTCTGTTTTTTAGTCCCTTCTAACCTTCAGATCAGAAAGAATGGCAAAACCCTAAACAGGATCATTTCTGGAAGACTCAGTGAACACGCCACTGGAAAAAGAAAGACATCAATGGCGGTACCGGCAGTGAAGTTCCCGATCTTCTATTTGGTAAGGATTTTAGGAATCGCGGTGACGGCGCTGGTTCTCACGTGGACGATACGTTACAGGGGAGGGTTGTCCCTCATCTCCGACAATAAAGATCTCATTTTCAATGTAATTTCCTTTAGTTCTAAGCTTGCTTTTCTTAGCTTCATATGCATTTGATGCCTTTGAATCAAGGGTTTTATGCAAAATCCCGTTTTAGGGTTAAATTCATATTCATAGTTTCTTATACTTTGAGTATTGATTTTCACAAATCAGTGGATAAAGAATCAAACTTTCTATTTTTCTTGCTTATGTCTGTCTTATGCAGGTTCATCCTGTTCTGATGGTTATTAGCCTTGTCGTTTTAAATGGCGAAGGTAACTTCTACAGCTGAAGGTTATTTAGTAAAATATTGCATTCTTCTATTCCTACTAATCTGCATTTGTTTAGTCCATGTGCAGTAGGGCTACAAAGACCACTTTTCTGATTTCAATTTGAATAGACTAGAATGTAGTGAATCGACATTCATACTATACAGTTATTGTAAAAATAATTGGACCTTCTAGTGCTTGTTGTTAATAAATGATTGTAAATAACATTTTCCTTTCTTTCTGAGTAAGAGAAGTTACAATCCTCACTTATAACTCTTTGAGTGATGGATTAAGTGCCGATATATTTAGTGAATCTGACTTCATTGTTTCCTCAGGTATAGTCCATTGCCAATTGGAGCTAAAAGAGTCATTTTTGACGATGCTTTAGTATTGGGTTAATAATAGACATACTTGAATGACACATTAAACTTGTTGGTCTTGCGTGTAATCTTCTCTGAAGTTCTAGGAAGTAAATGCAACAATGCATCAAGGGTCTGAGTGAGTCTGATGGAAATTGCCTCTTTGTTTTTCTACAAGGGTTAGGTTGCTTGCGTCTTGACCACCCAAACCTCAATTGAGTTTATTTCTACATTTGGTTCATTGTTGTTGTTGTTGTAATTGGACTTGATTGTTTCAGATCCTTTGAAGTCAGACCCCACTTGTAGAATTTTAAACACCAAAAATGCTGCTAGTGACATAAATCAATGCTATTAAGAATGTAGATTAAGGCTCTGTTTAGTAGCCTATTCTAGCTTATAGCAGAGTAAGTAGTTTTTGACTTGCTTATTATGCTGAAATAGATGTTACCAAAATGTCCGAACACTTGTTTTGAAAATTCAAGTGGATTCAACCATTTTTGACATTATAACCTTTAATAGTCAATAACTGATTTAATATCTAATTCCATGTTGACGTTTTTGTCAATCAGAAATTCTTGACATGATTCTATTACCCCCATTGAGAAACTTACCTTTAGAACAATGTGCAATTGGGCATTGTGGTGACCTTACACTCCTTCCATTTCGGTGTTTTGTTCATATTCTAAGTTGTGGGCTTTGATTGTTATTTACAGCTATGCTGGCTTACAAGACAATGCCTGGAACAAAGAACTTCAAGAAATCTGTGCACCTTGTTGTGCAATCCTTTGCTTTCTTTTTAGGTGTAATTGGCGTTTGGGCTGCTCTAAAGTTTCACATTGACAAGGGAATTGACAACTTTTATAGCCTTCATTCTTGGTTGGGTCTAACTTGCCTCTTTTTGTTTGGTATCCAGGTGCTCCTCTCAATTTTTTTTTATAACCCTCTTTTGTTTCCTTTTCTTAGACTTGCTTGGTCCTTGAATATCAACAATGTGAGGGTCTGTTTGGTAAAGGTTATTTGTCGAATAACTGATTATGGCTGTGGCGCATAGATATTTGTTTTTTTTTAATGTAAAACAAATCTTCTTGGCAGTGGGCACTTGGGTTTTATACATTCTGGTATCCAGGCGGATCGAGGAACAGCAGGGCTAGTCTACTTCCATGGCATATCTTCTTTGGAATTTACATATACGCCCTAGCTGTCACGACTTGCACTACTGGGCTTCTAGAGAAAGTTACCTTTCTTCAAACCAATCACATAATTTCGCGCTATTCCACGGAGGCATTGCTAGTGAATTCTCTGGGCATGTTAACTGCTGTTTTGGGCGGGTTGGTCGCTCTTGCCGTTGCATCTCCAGTGAACAGACAGGGCGACATCCTCAGAGAGCAGTAAAAAGACAAGCCGACTTCATGTGTTCCATCATTGAACTGAACTCTTTGATCAAATGGCTCCGTTTTTTGAAGCTTCAGTGACAAACTTCTCCTTTAAGAGTAGTAAGTACCCTTAAGTCATACCAGTATTGTATCAACGTTCATGGAACGAGTAATTTACCCATATTTTTTATATATAGAAAAATTTGCCCTTTCTATCATTCATCAGAGAAACGTTCTAGGGAAACCCCAACATTGACGCCAAGATGTTGTCTCATTGACACATAGACACTTCCCCTATATTATGGTGTCAAAGTTGGGGATCCCCTAGCTTTTTTGTTCACCAAACGATAATAAGGGAATGTTTTGTAAATCAAAACAAGGTAGGGTAACCCCACAATTTTGACATCACCATTGACCTCATGTTTTGCACGGACAAGTATTTTCTGTGCAAAGTTTGACGTCAATGGTATTGTCAAAATTGTGGGGTTATCCTAGCACAAGTCTCTGGAAATACTACTACAAGAAAATTAGGAGAGCTCACATTTGACACTAGCTTTGACATCATAATGTCTTATAGGCACACACAAACAATACAGAGTAATTATTTATGTAGGAATTATTGTGTGTATATTATAGTGTCAAATGGGTGAGGTTCAACTCTTTGGAAATTTATACTCTAAAGTATTGGGCTAATCCTCAATCAATAACAACTTCAGTCTTTAGCCACATTTTCTAGAATTTTATTTATTTTCTTTATTGATTCGTTTCAAAATAATTTTGTCATTTTTATAGTTTCTCTATGCAGAAATTAATATGCGTTCCAAAATATATTTCTCTCTTCCAAATAAATTTTGATAATATTGTTTAGTTTTTACTTTTCAATCGTTTTAAATAATTTTTTAATCTCCGTGAAATCAAAGTGAAAGAATTATACTCCGTAATCTTCATTGTATTTGGGGTAAGTTTTCGAGAGAAGAGTTCAAACAAATCATTTATGTTAAATGCATTCCAAAGAATGAATAAGTTCAAAAATAAAAATATGAATGCATTTGATAATGCTTGTATATACTCCATCCATCCCAGAAATTAAAAAGTTGCACAATGCACTATTCACAAATTAAACTATTGGAGGGTTTTTGAAAAATTATTTTTTTCCCTGCGCTTGTGAGGTAAATAACTGGTTTTTGAAAAATTAAATTGATGAGTAAAAAGTATTTATGCATTTAAATGCTTGCAAGTAAAAAGTATTTATGCACGGAGTACTTAATTAAAATTAAAAGGCCGACATGATTATTTTTAAACAATGAAAGAAAAAAAATACCCCCTCCGTCCCCTATTTTTTGTCCACTTTCATTTTTGCACACCATCCAATGCACTTCTTTAATCCATTTTATCTTGTAATTTGTATATTAAAAAATTATAGAAATTATATATTAATAATTTATATGTTAAGACAAATTAAACAAGATCACACATGACTATATTTAGGCTTACACATTGAGAGAATTTGATGAGTCAAAGTGCTTAGATGAACAGTTTCAAAAGTCAAAAGTGGACAAAAACTGAGGAACGAAGGGAGTACGGAGTATTACTAAACTACAAAATTATTTGAAATAAACAATAAGTAGAAATTTAGACAACAAATAACTTGCTTTTGGATTTTGGCTTTAAAAAGTGATTATATAAACATTTTTTGAACTTTTTCAGGCTCTATAACTCTTTAAGATAGTGTTTGAGTAAGTCAAAACTCAAAAGCAAACAGTTAATGAATATTTTCTTTCTAACATATTTCATTAATGATTTGTTAAAATAATACATGTAAATTTAATTTTTTAGTTTGCACCAATAATTACATGGCTTTCATTGAAGAAAGGTTCTATGGTTTAACTAAGGTCCTCATAGATCTTCTCACATTTTCTATTTTTATTTGGAAAATGCTCATTTAGCATGTATGAAACTCCACCATGGATCTTAGATGTATGTAATAATTTACATTAATTCATTCATTGAAATGTCTTCACTCAAATTCTATTAAACACGACATGCTTGCGCTTTTTGCTTCGTACATTAATTTCAAAGATGAGAGTAAGTTCTGACTTTTGACGGTACTTCGTGCAAAACGAAAGTAGTTTTTATTTCTCTACCCCTATCTCATGTCTTATGCCTTTTGCTTTACTCGTTGATTTGCTTCATTGAACATTATAGTAAATCCGTAAATATGAGTTCTAGTATGTAGGAGGATTTTAAGGTGATTATGACGGGTAGGAATCAGTTTCGAAATTTAACAGGTCATTGAAAATATTCATACTTCAAATGAAGTAACGTTATGGTATAACATTGAACCTGTCAATGTTCAAGATTGAAATTATCAATTCTGATTCTCGTATCATCTACTCCATCCCTCCGTCCAAAAAATCATATCCCAATTACGGAGTACATACTATTCTTAGTTTTTTGATATTTTTTCACGTCTTGTTTTGTAAGAATTTTAATTTAGTTTTGAACGTGTAATTTTTTATATTCTATATATACAAATTTGTAAATAAAATAACAAGAGAACTCCTTAGATATGAGTAAAAAACTATGAAAATACCAAAATAAGATTCATAAAACTTTTAAGATCAAAATATGAGTTCACATTGCCACACTCACCACATTGTCACATTATAACTGTCAACTTATCACCGCCACACTATCATCCGTCGCCGCCGGCCACCAGAGTCAATGTGGATCACTGACGGTTGACTGATCACACTGGCATATTACACTGTCATCAATTTTTTCATTACAATGTCAATGCGTACTCTTACACTACACTGTCATTATACTTTTATTTTGGTTTTAAAACACTTAGGACTCTCATTTTGGTATTTTAACTTTTTTACTCCTACCGAGAAAGATTTTTTAAAAATAATTTCAAAAATGATACTCCCTCCGTCCCATTTTAAGTACAATTTTTTCTCTCCCATCTCGATAACTTTTGTTTATTTACGCAATTTCATTAAATATTTGATAAAATAAAATATTATTGTCACTTCTTGTTTTGTAGAACTTTTAACGTAGTTTTTTTAATATGTAATTTTTATTTCTTATTGATATACCAATTTGTAAATAAAATGATTTCAAAAGTTGAGAAATTTTTTTCTCGTAAACTCCAATTTGTAATCGAATTGGGGACGAAGGGAGTTGAGACGAGATTCTTAGCACAAAAAAGGATGAGTGCATCCCCGAGGATCCTCTTAGACCCAGCCAGACGGTCACTAAGTAAGGTAAATTAAATTTTAATCGCAGATTGGTTGCAAAGAATATAGTCTGTACCTGGTACTTGAAGAGACCCTATGCTTAGCATGGTTGTCTTCCAACGCAGTTGCCAAAAAGCAAAGTCAGATTTTACCTCCTTGGCACTCATTGCCTTGCCAACTGCGCAACGCCCATACAAAAAAAGAATGATGTGTGGAAGATAAAAAGGGGATGAACTCCATCCCTGTGGGTCCTCAGAATTGACCAGACGATCATTTCAGAAAAGCTAAATTGGATTTTAATCATATATTAGTAGCAAATTAAATATTAGAGCATGCACTTGTTATTTGCAGAGATTCTAGATTTAACATTGCTATTTCTCATGTATTTCTCTGGGATCGAACTTAAATCTTAACACTTTATACTTTTTTACTTGCTAACTGTTCAACGCCCATCGGGAATGTGCGGATGACTGATGCCCCTTTTGTTTCATAAAATGGTTCCTTTTTTGATTTTTAGAAGAAATAAGGAGTGTATATTTGGCCTTCAAAAAAAGGAGTGTATATTTGTGTTTGACTTTTCAATTTTATCCGTGATGTGATGGATAAAAGTAAATTATGATATATAGATTATTAGTGAAAACATATGAGATGATAGATAGAGTAAAAAAAATAAGAGTAAAAATAAATTTTAAATAGAAAATGAGAGTGTTTTGTGAAAAAACAAAAAAAATAAAGGAAAATGCTAGGGGTATACCTTTGGTGTACCCCAAATATCCCACACCCTCCATAACCACAAAAATTAGTATGTGATGGTGTAAATTACTTGACCGGTCAAACTACACTAGACCGGGTCTAGAATAGTTTGCTTGATTTGGCAAAGTAAGAAAGGTAAAAACACGCAAATTGACCGGTAGGACTTTAGGTGGAACACCTGTAGCCCGATTTATATTATAAAGGAGAATGCACGGGTGCTTTTACAAGGGAGTTTTTAGAAAATGAATTCCCCTCCCCTCATTCGAGGGTTACAAGAGGTATATATACTAGGCTGGGGAGCAGGACCACGTGCGCCCACGTGGGGGCATGCTGCTGGCGTGGTGTGAAGTGACTGGCTCTGAGCTGCCTTGTCATCTTGCGCGGGGGGTGGCACCCTTGTCGCGTTCTGGTTTGGAAATATTCCCTCAGCATCCCTGCAATTCCAAACACTACAGTCCAAGTCCTTTTGGATTCCTCTTGCCGACACTTCCCCAATCTCTAGGAACTACACCGGTTGGTTCTTGCAGGTGTGTGGCCATCTTTGTAGGGTGAATTAGTCGCCGGTATAGTTTGACCGGTATACCATCCTAAGCATACCGGTCAACCTTTTGGTCAACCAGTCATCCCTTCGCCGACGATCTAGACCTCTCTTGCAAGTTTGACTTCTTTGATCGGTCAACTATCCGGTCTTGACCGTTGACCGGTCATGGGTGAAATACACCCATCA